TTTTGGCGTCTCGGAACGGCCAAAATGTTTACCACGAAAGCTCGTCCACATCACATGTGGTTATTTTGATTTACAACACTTTCCGCTCACCCCTAGGCAAAGTGGAGACAAATTTCACACTCATCTGCTCCTCCCACTAATCTTTTATTTGCTACGTCCCAGAATCTGGGACGGACGTGACCAGACCAGACCAGGGTAGACTGCGAGCAGTCTCTTTCTTTTCCTAATGTTTTTAGGGCACGCGCGCGATCGAGCATTTTATACCCAGTCTGCAATCTGCAGTCTGCATTTTATACCTAGTCTGCATTTTATACCAAGTCTGCAGTCTGCAATCTGCAGTCTGCAGTCTGCATTTTATACTGACCGGTCCCACGACCTCCGGATCAGATCTGTGGAAAACATTTAATACCAAGAACCTTCGAAGATCGACAAATAAGATTCTTGCTACATAACTCGTTCAATTTCAAGCTGATATCTTTTAATAATGTGTAGTTCTGATCTGAGTATTTGAGTGTGCATGCTACAAATCGAGACAAATGTTTTAAAAACATCTTCCAATATATCGACTTTCCACTTGCGTACTCAGATGGTATAAATTAATTAATTCATGACAGTAGTTTACCTTCCTCCAGTACTACGGGCTTGAACTGCAAGAAGCATACCAGGGTAAGAAGCGCCTTCTTCATGATTTCGCTTCGTACTGAAATCAGTTTAAATTCAGGCGATTCTTGGTTATATCGCCTGTACGCTTCAAGATGAGACAAAAACTTTCAAGATGAGACACGAATGTCAAAGAGCATGTCTCTTCCTTCTTTTCCCAGAAAGGAAAGGATTATTTTAATATTTAATAAGCACTTGAGCATGTAACAGTCACGCCGGGCAGTCACGCCACTTTATATGCAACGGAAGTCGCGCACTGCATCAAGCAGGGACGAAGAAATACAAGGGCAAGATATTCTGGACGGGTTTGGCATTTATTAAGTTCGCCTACAAGCGAGGCGTAAGTTCACCAAACGCAATAAGCCAAAATTCAAAATGTCTCAAATCTTAAGGCGGGGTACACGTGAATTTCAATGAAATTTTAAGAGGTTTAAAGAAGGGATAGAAGGAAAAATGTTCTTTTAGAACACCAACATACAGTGGTCTTTTCCCTCCCTCTCCCCAATCTCTCCTCGTTTTTCACCTAATTTGCATAATTATAACATTTCCGCTCGCGCCAAAGATCTGAGGAGAAAAGACCGACTGCTCGCAGTCTAAGACCAGGGTCTCTCTTCTCTCGCTCCAGGGGGCGGGAAGATGAGAGACCCTGGGAACGAGGTTGACGTTTCGAGCGTTAGCCCTTCGTCGGAGCAAAGTGGAGGATTGTGGGTTGTGTGTGTTTATATATTAGAGTATAAGGAGTTCCGTGATTGGAGGAAGCATGGTAACGGAGAATGCATGAATAAATTAGTTAGTTAAACGAGAAGCGTTCGTTGATCCCATGGGGAGCCAAGGTGCCGATTTGAAAGATAAATTTGTGTTCTGAAGTTTTACGACTTTCAGTGTTGCCTTGATGAAGGCATCACTGTCAAATGTTTGTTCGGCGCCAAGGACTTCCAGATGAATGGTAAAGCAACGATTGTTGTCGCTCTGTTGATAAACATAATCAAAGACCAGCTACAAGATATGGAATCACTGAGATATTCTGTGGTTGATTGCAACGACTTATCGCCCGCAGAAATTCGCCACTGTAACTTCAAGGTTATACATGACTGTAGTATAAAACGCGACTCTTACAGTTCGTGACATAATTTTGTATATTTGCCGTTAAAATGCGGTTTGCTTCAAGTGTGTTTCTAACGGGCAATATAAGTTTAATTATAGGACTTTCAAGTAGAGCCTTTAAGAGCTCATGTTCGCTTTCCTGTCAGGCTACCGTCCGACCTTGTGTCCGACAAAAACGATATCAATGTTGACAACAGATTACTAGGCTATGAAAAAGGTTACTACTTTGCTATTATTCAAAGCAATTTCATAAACACCATATTTGGCATATATAAACGCATTTCAATGAACTTCAAGTGACACCATAGACAACAGTTACATTAGTCGTAAGAAAAAAATCTTGATGAAGAATTTGCTATAAATAATTTCTCACTCGAATTTCTGTTTTGCTTAAAATAATTCACATATAAACATAACTTTTTAAACCTTCACCGATCAATGCCCCCTCAGAACGATTAAAAAGCAGGAAATGTTATAAAGCCCATGAGGCTGATTCAAATCGTATCGTTGGGGGATTAGCTCAAATGGTAGAGCGCCCGCTTTGCATGCGGGAAGTACCGGGATCGATACCCGGATTCTCCAAGAACTTTTGTTTTCCAATCCTTCGCTTCTCGGTTCACGCTTGTTGTTGTTTTTTTTCTCTCCCCTGAAAAAATTCCCGAGCTCGACTTGTGGGCAAGTCTATTTATCATTCACAAATATCTACAATAAATACACCTTATTCGATGGTTTAACATATAATACGCACGGATATTTTGCGAGTTGCGTAGTATTTTTCCAAGCCCTGTAGGGGTGAGGAAAAATGCGAGCAATATTAAATTTCCCGACTATTTGCTATTTTCCGTATTCGCTCTGTTCAACTAGTCAATACCGTCTCATATTTTACGTGTTCTCTTGACCATATATGGTGAAATGACGTAATAGTAGAATAATAAAATCTGATATTTTTATGCAATGTACTCTTCTAAAAGCCGCGGCTTTCATTGCTGCGGGCTTCTTGGCAGTTTTTTTTCTCTGCTGCCGCGGGTTTCTTCTCTCTTCTTCAATATGTTATAGTTCTACTACACTTCTCTATGTGTGGAAGTGTGGAATAGTGTGAAAGACTAGGGATTAAATCACCCATTGATGGGACCAAGAGACCCTTGTCATTCTGTACTTAGTTCTATACCTCTACATGTGTGGAATAGTGTGAAAGACTAGGGATTATATTACCCATTGACAGGGCCACGAGCCCCTTTTCATTCTTTACTTAGTTCTATACTTCTCTAAGCATGGAATAGTGTGACAATCCCTAGTCTTTCGCACTATTCCACACATGTAGAGGTATAGAACTAAGTAAAGAATGACAAGGGTCTAGTGACCCCATCAATGGGTGATATATATAACCCCAGTTTGCCACACAATTCCACACTTCCACAGATAGAGAAGTATAGAACTATAAAAAAATTGTAGAAACCCTGGATTTCATGGCCAGGGCTGGACATTTCTCGCAACTTGAAGGCGCCAACTCCCTTGATTTACACACCCATGAGAATAGAGAGACCATGAGAGACCTGAAAAAGATTATTTGCCAGCAACTGGCGATTGATGTTCTTTTTCAGGTTTCGCAATCACATTTCGTGGCTTTTCTCCAATGGAGACAGGTGGCGTGCTGATGGACATAGATGTATAAATCAATTTGATTAATCAATTTGATCCATACATGACCATCAGCACGCCCGTCTTGTATCCCTTTTCCTAGTCTCCTACGCAGCCGTTATTTGTGTCGTCACGCAACGCTTCTCCCCACTTAGTGGGGAGAAGCGTTGCGTGACGACACAAATAACGGCTGCGTAGGAGACTACCCTTTTCCCGGTTGTCTTATAAATATTTGTAAACATGCTTCTCAAACGGGAAGCGACACGGGTTTTACCAACGCCCCAAATTTCAGTTTGTTTATCATTGAGATGGATTTTTAATTTGCTCAATCATTTTATGCGAGAATCTTCAACACAAAGGTCGAATCTCCCCGAGCGACCACCATTGGTAAAGTGACCAAAGGTAAATCTCCTGAAATTTTCTCGTGCGCCCCAACAAGCTAGAGAAGTGACCAAATAATTAAACAGGAACCGGTTACTAGTATTAGAAGTAAATTCTCTCCTAAGCGACCTCCTATTAGCGATCATCTTAGCTTGACTACTGTACTCAGTGAGAAAATTGTACAAGCTTACCGTTTTCTTAGTCAGGCGTTCCAAATTTACCTTTTTATTCATCCAAAAATTATGTATAACATCCTATTTGGATGATTTAATAGGTAAATATCAAAGGAAATATACTCCTCACATAACGTACAAGGTCCGACATGTCCAAAGCGAACACAAATTGAACGAAAATTTTCCTCTTGTTTTGTTCAAAATCTCAAACTACAATTTTCCTTTGATTACGTCACAAAGAGGTTTGCGCGCGCGGTCTGTGATTGGTTAGTTTAAATTTAGCAATCGACCAATCAGATTTACAGCAATGATTGGGCGAGAGTTTTCAAGGTATTTTTTGCGACATACAGATTGACCAAAATCTGGGGCAGCTGGTTCACAGACGGAATCTCCAGATCATACGCGGAACGTCCATGCATTTGTGAAGAGATTTTCAGTGAAATCGCGCATTGCAGTCTGTTTAGCCCGGTTTGCTTTCTTCAAATACACGTTTATTTTTAGTTAGTTAGCACAGGATCCCGCAAGCATTCGTCATGCTTTAATTATCATCGTGTCAAAATAAAGGATACTGTATTGTAAAATCGGGGCGGTAGGAAGATAAAATAGGCTAAATCGCCCGCAAATTAATATATCGGTACGCGCGAAAGTTCATTTGACGCCCGTCACGATAAACTTTCGCGCGTACCGGTTTCGCTCGTTTTATTTTCCTTCCGCCCCGATTATTTGCCCTGGGTCTCCGAGGATGAGTTGAGTGGTGTAATTTACGGGACCACGAAAACTGACCGCTAAATAGATAGCGACCGCTAAACAGGGTGCCTTTTATAAGACAAGTTTGACTGTATTTGCCCCGCTTAGCTATGATATGCTCCTGAATAATTATTTTATTCCTGATTAGCTAGTATACAAGCAGTGTTTCGGGGGGATTAACCCGCTCGTCTTTTCCCGAGCGACAGTCGGCGGAAGAGGGGGAAAAAAGGAACACTTTCCAGTTTTCCCGGCCGCTTTCTTTTAATTTTGGGAAAATGACGCCTGCTCACAGGTTACGGGGGATTAGCTCAAATGGAGCGCCCGCTTAGCATGCGGGAGGTACCGGGATCGATACCGGATTCTCCAAGAAAGCGATTTTTTTTTGCTGGACATTGTAAAGTTTATATTTTGTGGACAATTTATGCAAACGAGGGTTTTTACCAGGGTCCGAAAAAACCCAACAGTGAAAATGTTTTGCGGTACATGGACTCCGGTTCGAGCGCTCTCACAGTACTAGTGCCTCTCTCCACCAAGGAGTATGATGGGTTACTGGCGAACTGTTAGTCTGAAGTGTCAGCCGTCTCCTCGCTCTAACCCCCCGTGGGCAGGAGACGGCTGACACTTCAGACTAGCGAACTGTTAGGGCAACCTGATAATTAAGCTAATCCAGGATTCGCGTGAATATTGCTTTCAGTTTTGTAACATCGTCTCGGTCCATAAACACGCAAAAAAAGAACGAGGTTTTCAGTGAGATTTTCTGTTTGTAGATTTAGTCCATCAGTTTTGACTTTAAAAGCGACAAATGCTACGAGAGTCAAGGGTGAATGACATCGTATCTGGGGGATTAGCTCAAATGGTAGCGCGCCCGCTTTGCATGCGGGAAGTACCGGCATCGATACCCGGATTCTCCAAGAACTTTTTTTTTGCTGATAATTATAAGGTCGATATTTTGATAGACAATCTGTTTGACAGTTAATAAACAAACAGAGCAGTAAAGGTTGTTGTTGTTGTTGTTGTTGTTGTTGTTCTTATTGTTGTTTTTGCAGTGGTCGCTTCTCTATTACAGGCCCCTCAGGGGAGTGGGGCGAGAAGACGGCTGACACTTCAACTACTTCTCTAGCTTCTCTATTGGCCCAGCTGGATTAGCGTCAAGTAATAACTATAACCTGATCCGAAATTATTTCTATATCAGTTTTTAACTTTGGACAATGTCAAACTCCATGTAGCTTAAAATTAGCATTGATTTGAAACAACATGTCCTAACATGTTTTGCAAACTCAAATGTGTCGTTTTATGTGTAAAAATCGTTATTGGGGGTTTATTTATAAGAAAATAAATGGAAGTTGTAAAGCCGAGAAGTTTCATTAGAGAGTAGGTCTAAAATCTGATATTTTTATGCAATGTACTCTTACTGTATGTGGGGTGACGCCTACAGGAGCCGCTTTGTTTGTTGAAGAATCGGCATTTACTTCTAAAAGCCGCGGCTTTCTTGGCTGCGGGATTCTTGGCGGGATTTTTCTCCGCCGCCGCGGGTTTCTTCTCTTGGCGGGATTTTTCTGCCGGCCTCTTTGTTTTGGAGGCACCAAATCCCTTGGTTTTCACCCCCATCATGAGAATAACGGCTTGAGAATGAGATTTGCACTTCTACAATTTTCGTAAAGAGAAGCTGTAACACACTACCTGCCTAGACTACGTAGCAGGCGCTGGAATAATATCGAGCTTGAGATGGAGACCTCCCTGAGTTGGAGGGGCGTGCATCTCAATCCTCCCTCACGCACGCGTCCTTCCAACTTGCAAGCCGCGCTAAATTACTCCTGCTACAGATTTCCAACCGGCACACAATTATAGTATCCAAAACTGAATTGCGTTATTTAAAACTAAACTCGTCTTTTCGACGTTTCTTGTCAACTATTGGATGCTTTGTTTTAATCGTTATTTGTGTCTAGAAAGTAGTAGTACTTTCGGGCCCAGTGAGGGAAAAATACTGCAATGATCAGCCAAGATTTCTTATAGGAACTTTCAGGGTGACTTTCGATGTTCGCAAACGTACTGTTCAAAACATTTGCATTTCTGAAGCGAGCTGCTCAAATTTGGTTGAGAAAAGAGAAGAAATGAAACCTCTGGCTCAGTCTCCAGTCTTCCGCGCGCGGAAGCATTCCTGCCAAAAAGAAAATGAATAAGAAGACTTATATGCTGTGATCCGCAGAACATGGATATATTGAGCTTTTAAGCCTGGTTTTCACTAGCGACGCAAGCACAAGCGCAAGCAACATACGCAGTCGCAGTAACGCGTTGATCATCAGTGCCTTTTGTTTAGGACAAATCAACACGTTACTGCGTCTGCGTATGTTGCTTGCGCTTGTGCTTGCGTCGCTATAGTGAAAACCAGGCTTTAACGCTTTTCAGATAAATTCTAGTGGTCATTGCTTTTATTTATGTGTTGGCTCCTAAAGGAGCCGTTTTTTGTTTTGAGGGATATAATCCACTTATGCTCGCTCTCCGCGGATTCGGCGGGCCAACTGAATGTCCTTGGGCATGATGGTGACGCGCTTGGCGTGGATGGCGCACAAGTTGGTGTCTTCAAACAGACCAACAAGGTAAGCCTCGCTAGCTTCTTGAAGAGCCATCACTGCGGAGCTCTGGAAACGCAGATCGGTCTTGAAATCCTGAGCGATTTCTCGCACAAGACGCTGGAAGGGTAGCTTGCGGATCAGCAGCTCGGTGGATTTCTGGTAACGACGGATCTCACGAAGAGCGACAGTACCTGGCCTGTAACGATGAGGTTTCTTGACTCCACCGGTGGCAGGAGCGCTCTTACGAGCTGCCTTTGTGGCGAGCTGTTTGCGTGGAGCTTTTCCACCAGTTGATTTACGAGCAGTTTGCTTTGTACGAGCCATTTCGAAGACCACGAGAGTAGGAAATATAACTATTTTTCGCTATGCAGTTCAGACGCTCATAAAACAACTTATACGTTGGCATTGGTTGAAAAGGGAGAGATTTCATTGGCTGATAAATATAATATACACAATTTGTATTCATACTTCGATCCGGTAAAGACAATCGAACGATAAGTTTTAGATATTCAAGGTAAAACACTCCTAACGGCTTATTACTGATATAAACTGTTTCAAGCTTCTTAATTCCTGGTATCCATTCTTGTTCATAAGAGCGAGAATTTCAGTTCTAGCTATTCAAATATTTCCCGCAAAACCGTGTGTTTCGCATGACCACGAGTTTTGCGACCTGGGCGGCACTACAAGAGCATGATGTCGGTCTGTGTTGTCTTTGTTCAACTGACCAATAGCAATACTTCTATGTTTTCTGAGAGGTCGTCAATCTGCCAATATAAAGAAGAAACGGCGGCATAGTCGGCTTATCATTAGTTACACAAGTAGCAATCAACATGTCTGGTCGCGGTAAAGGAGGCAAAGGTCTAGGAAAAGGAGGCGCCAAGCGTCACCGAAAGATCCTTCGGGACAACATCCAAGGCATCACCAAGCCAGCCATCCGTCGTCTTGCTCGCCGTGGCGGTGTCAAGCGAATCTCTGGCTTGATCTACGAGGAGACTCGTGGTGTTCTCAAAGTTTTCCTTGAGAACGTGATCCGTGATGCTGTGACATACACCGAGCACGCCAAGAGAAAGACTGTGACAGCCATGGATGTGGTGTACGCTCTGAAACGACAAGGCCGTACCCTGTACGGATTTGGCGGTTAGACGGACAACTACCCGCGCAAGCACAAAACAAACGGCTCCTTTAGGAGCCACCAAATCTCTGAAAGTCATGACCAATATGAATAATATGTGTCCTAGTGAATAGTCATCAGTTCTCCTATCTTAGTAGTAGTCAATATTCTCCCCTTTAGAAAAACTGCTATAAGTTATTTTGGCAAAGCATGGCCGTAAAATCGAAACAGCAAGAGACCCAAGACACTATGGTTAACAGGGATATAAAATGTAAGAAACATTTACCCACATGCACTAAAATCCTGGGAGGCTTCGCTCCCATTCGAGATTCGCACCGATGCATGTATTTTCTTCGTTCTATAAGCGTGAGGCCACAAACAAACGCCGGTGCGACCTCGGACGGTGCGAGCTCGAATGAGAGCGAAACCTCCGCAATTCGCTGCAAACCTTCGACGCGCATTTCTGAAAGACATGTCATCACATCGCACTAACTGTTTATTCGCTATAAGCCTGCGCGCGAGTATAAACGCGTCTCTCACAAGGAGACCACTCCCACCCGGACAACGTGATAGATCGTTAGATCTTCAAGCTATTATTTCAAAAGGAGTATAACTAACATTTGATGTACCCAATGAAAAAAAATTTGCGTCGCGTAACTGGCGAAATGATCAAATTTTCAATTTGGCGCCTTTTACGGCCCACGTGCACTGTCGCGTGACCACTACATTAGCATAATAAAGAACAGTAACAGCTAACTGAATTTCTTTTTGCATATATTGAGATATTGTTGACACGAGGACTGAATAAATACTGATAAATTGGGCATTCGACCGGCGGGAAAGACAAGTTAAGGCTAAAAATCTAGCCTGCGAGCGTTAAAGAAAAAGGCGGTAAATGTAATTGGGGTGGGGTAAGCTACTTTTGCACTCTAGCATTTGGTTTGATTTATCCACTGCCATGTGTACAAAACAGAATCACTCCAATTCGAAAACACGGATCATTTGTTATGTGTAAGTAAAGCTCAAGAAAATAAAGTTCAAGTTGAACGACCATTTCTGTTGATCATGACTCTGTTAACATTTGGTGGCTCCAAAAGGAGCCGTTTTTGTAAATGAAAGCTGATTTAAGCTTTCGCTTTCTTCTCGGTCTTCTTGGGCAGAAGTACAGCCTGGATGTTGGGAAGAACACCTCCCTGTGCGATGGTGACACCGGCGAGCAGTTTGTTCAACTCCTCGTCATTACGGACAGCCAGTTGAAGGTGACGGGGGATGATTCTGGACTTCTTGTTGTCACGAGCAGCGTTGCCCGCCAACTCGAGGATCTCGGCGCTCAAATACTCGAGCACGGCAGCCATGTACACTGGAGCACCGGCGCCAACACGCTCACCATAGTTGCCTTTGCGCAGAAGACGATGGATACGACCAACTGGGAACTGAAGCCCTGCTCGGGATGAGCGGGTCTTAGACTTAGTGCCCTTTGCCTTTCCTTTACCGCGACCAGACATGTTTGGTTTGAATTTGACTTCACGAAAGTTGTGGAAGATTAGATAAAATTGTGCAGACTGTAAAATTTATAGCTCATTTTTTTATGCAAGAAGGATCGAAATGCACCAATCAAAACTTTGTTGACTGATAGCATTTCAAAGAACCTTTTCTATACAAAGGAAATGACATGCAAAAAT